TTTCACTTCCCAGGAGACAGTCTTATTCTACTTGGGTTGTTTGTTTTCTAGGACAGCTTAAAGGTGTTGTCCAAGGGAACAACCATCATTTGGGAAATTTTCCCTGGCTTTCTCTTTTTGATAAATTTCATATCTTGGATCCTACATGTTTTTCCATCGTACTTATTTATTTCATCATTTTGAGTGAACACTTTTTCCTGTAGCTCTCTGAAAAGGATTGCATGGTCAAGTAATAGAATTCTAGTTGGAAATTGCTTTACCTCAAAATGTTCAAGGTAATATTCCATTGTCTTATAGCCTCCACTGAGAAATCTGGTGTTCCTATAGCTGGTCCTTTATATTATTTTCTCTCTGAATGCTCTTCAAACATCTCTTCTTTACCTAATATTCTGAAATAATTTTATGCCAGTATGTGTATGAATTCATCTTTTTAAATTCATTTTGATGGATAGTTTCAGTCCTTTATCTTCTAGATCCTCTGATGTTATATTTCTGCTTTTCATCTCTTTGACACTTGTACTATATAGGATATTTCCTTGATTTTTGTTTTTGAACTCTCTTACTTAAATTTGCCATGTATTTTGTTCATTTCTAAAAGCTATTTCATATTTTCTCGCTTTTCCCTTTTTTGTCCTATTCTTATTTCAGGAATGCAAAACCTAGTCTTCTCTAAGAATTGATTATAGCTGGGTATATTTTCTATCTAGAGGAGGGTAGGGCATTTTGTTTATTAGTTTATTTATGTATTGTTACTATTGTTCAGTTGTCTTGTTTCTTAACTATTCTTTTTCTGGTTTGTAATTTTCTTCTCTTTCAATCATGGTAAATAGCAAATGTCTGGTAGTTTTAGTTGTCTGTGTTGAAAAATTGTTTAGAAGCACTTGGCAGGGTTTATGAACTGGTGGGCTTGGGCTTTATTGTAATGAGAAGACACCAGTCTTCTTTTTTACTGTGAGACCCCGGAATGTGAACACACATCTAGGTCTTTTCTCTTGGATTGGTCAATTTTTCCAGAGAGGAATTGACCAGTTTTCTACCAGCTTTCAGAGAACTATACTAGAAACAGACTGTTTTTGTTTTGGTTTGCTTTGGGTTTTTTTGCAGTTTTTGGCTGGGGCCACATTTGAACCTGCCACTTCTGGTATATGGGGCTGGTACCCTACTCCTTGAGCCACAGGCACTGCCCAGTCCTTCTGTTTTCATATATCTCCTCACTTATGTCTAAAGCCCCTGGTCCCTGGTCCTCAACAGTTCAGCCTCACTGGAGATTAACTTGACCTGTTTAGTTGGGAAGACAGAAAAGCCTGATTGTGGGTTTTGGAGAAGATCTGGGAGTCATAATTGAACCTTTTAAAAATGTTTAACTAGACCTTCATTTTTGTAATACTACCCTATACTCACGTCAAAAACAATCAGTCCCTTCACTTCAAAGGGCTTTTAGGGCTTTTCAGCATTAATGGGCTTCCTGTTTTCTTGGTTGTCCATCTATTTCAGGATTAGGGGTTAGTTTTTTCCAGTCTGCTAAATTAGTTATCCCATTGTCTGCTTCTAAAGTTTTATTAGTATCTCTCAACTTCCGTTACTTCCTACTGATTGTATTTATTCTTGTGGTTTAATTTTTATTCTTTGCTCTCACTTCAATTAAACTTTAAGAGACAACAGAGATAAAATATGTATTAAATCTATTGCATTTAAATATAATTCTCAGTATTTTTAAATTCCTTATCTGGAATTGCCTTCTTGGCTTTTTCCCATTTGTATGAAATACATAGCACTTGTTTTCTCTTTACCTCTTCATTTTTTGCTGCTGGTATCTTGAAAGGATAGCCCTGGCCTCTCAGAGAGAAAATTTGCTGATACTGACCTAAATCTGAGAAGTCCTAGCAAAGGGAATTGGGAAAAGACAAGTTTGGTGCCAAGGGACCATTTTGCAGAACATCAGGGTACAAACAAACATAAATTCAGTTTGTGCTGTCTGCCTCTAGTAAGGGGTATAACTAACCAAACCATGATGTAAATCACCATCTTGAGTTGGATGATGACTGCTGGTAAGTATTTGTATTCAGTGGCTATTCAATGGCTTGAGAGAAGACTTTTCTAGTATATTCATAATAATTGAGGAGTATAGTTCCCAACAAAGCTAATGTTAATGATGATCACATCCTTCCATTAAGGCTTAGAGTTTAATAATACTGAAAAGTAAACCTAGGAGCAAACAGTGATTGACATGTTTAAGTAAATCTAAAATAAGATCTCACAGCTATATATTATATCACTTAATTGCTTTCAATAACAGGGTGATATTATCAGATAGCTAGAAGCTATAGACTTAAGTGAGCTATGATGACACTACCGCACTCTAGCCCAGCAAAATTTTAAAAATGACTATTTGGACCTTGAATGAATTAAAAAATTCCATGGTAGAATATTGTCCTATTTTGGAAGCCAAGAATAGTGCCACTACTTCCCCCATTTTCCTTGTGATTATATCGGGCTTTTCATTGCCTTTTAAATTGCATTAGATTCTTCTAGGCTACATTTTAGGAACTATGACTCAAGTTTAGGAAATAGAGTAACTCATTTTCTTATGTGTATAAAAATTAATGTATGAGAAATGTTTGTATTTTGATTGGGATGTTGGTTATGTGGTTATGTTGGTTATGTGTTTATTTGATAAAACTCACCAACCTTAGCTTGGTGCCTGTGGCTCAAGCAGCTAAGGTGCCAGCCACATACACCTGAGCTGGCGGGTTCGAATCCAGCCTGGGCCCACCAAACAACAATGA